AGTATTCCATTGTTTGAATATACCATAATTTTGTAATCGATTGATTTGTGTTTGGGCATTTGGGCTGTTTCCATGTTCTTGCGATGGTGAATAATGCTGCTATGAACATTAGTGTACAAATCTCAGTTTGTGCCTCAGTTCTCATTTTCTCAGGGTATATTCCAAGTAGTGGAATAGCTGAGTCCTTTGAAATTTCTGTGTGCAGCTTTTTGAGGAACACCAAACTGTCTTCCAAAATGGTTGTACTATTTTACAGTCCCACCAACAATGCATAAGAGTTCCTTTCTCACCATATCCTCTCCAACATTTATCACTTGTTGCTCTGTTAAACTTTGCCACTGTTACTGGAGTGAGATGGTACCTCACTATGGTTTTGTTTGCATTTTTCTTAGTGCCAGTGATTTGGAGCATTTCTTCATGTGTCTATTTGCCATTTGAATATCTTCCTCTGTGAAAATTCTTTCCATGTCTTTTGTCCATTTTGTAATTGGGTTATTTGTCTTTTCTTGTGGAGGCCCAGGAGTATTCTGTAAACTTTTGTTATAAGACTAGTCTGAGATGGTATTACCAAATAATTGTTCCTAGTCTGTAGGTTTTCTTTTCACCCTGTTGGAAAAAGTTTTTGATGCACACATGGATTTAATCTTTAGAAGATCCCATGCATCGATTTTATCCTCTTTAGATTGAGAATTTATGGTTGTGTTTGACAGTCTCTTTATACCTTGGACTAGCACTTCTAAGCTTCATCTCAGTTTGTCTCTTAGGAACATTATGGTTTTGGGCTTTCATCCCAGGTCTCTGATCCACCTTGAGTTGGTTTTTGTGTATGCTGTATAATGTGAATCCTGTTTCAGCTTTCTGTGGTGAAAGTCCAGTTTTGCCAGCACCATTTGTTGAAGAGGTTATCATCTCCCCATTTGATAGCTTTGATCTCCTTGTTGAATATCAGTTGACCATAGATAGCTGGGTCTATTTCTGGGTTCTCAATTCTGTTCCATTGGTCTATGTGCCTGTCATTGTGCCACTACCATGCTGTTTTGGTTATTACTGCTGCGTAGTAGATTTTGAGATCAGAGAGTGCTATGCGTCCAACCTCATTTTTATTTCTCAGAAATGTTTTGCTTATTCGAGTTCTCTTGCCTCTCCAGATAAATTTGATAATTTCTCTTTCAATCTCCTTGAAAATGAATTTGGTGTCTGGAAGGGATTGCACTGAACATATAGTTTGCTTTGGGAGGGATTGTCATTTTCACAATATTGAGTCTTCCTATCCAGGAACAGGGCACATTTTTCCATATCTTTAGGTCTTTCATTGTATCTTGCAGACAGCTTTTGATAACCCATTGGAGGGTCAGCTATAAATTAGTCTGCTTCAACAGTATATAATATAACATAATACAATGATACATGTAAGGAACCCTGGTGGCAAAGTCTGTTTCAAGTGCTAACCCAAAAGGCTGAACATCTCTAGTGGTTCAAATGTACCGACAACTCTTAGAGATAAAGATAGTCTCCATCCGTGTGATTTACAGCCTCAGAAACCTGTTGGAAGGTCAGCTGTGAGATGGAAATGGCTGCATAGCAGTGAATGAATGAGGAAATAGTGCATACACTTTAGGTAGTAAACTTGCTCCTTTTTTGTCATTACTGTTAGATGCCATCAAGTCAAGTATGACTCATAGTGGCCCTACAAACAACAGGTCAGAACCTCGTCCTTTTGTGAATCATTGTCACCAATTCTCTTCAACAGTGAACAAATTCTAGCTTCCATCCATGATGCAAGTTTCATTTGTGTAGTGTGATATTTTAATATACTTTGGTCATTACTCTCTTGTAGTTTGGATATGTTATCAAGAGAGACCAGTTCCTTTCTATTTATACATCTTGTATTTCTAAGCATACCCAAAACATAAGTAATTGGTGATACAGTTGCAATAAGAAACTTAAATTGTGATAGCTGCAATGTCAGATACTTAAAGTAGATTATCTCTAGCAAAAATAAAGCAGAGGTAAAATTTAAAGCTTAAGAAATATTTGAATTGTTTATTTACCCTTTTCTTAAATGAGACAAAGAGAATTTACCAACATACACAATAAAGTTCTTAGTTTTCTAAGCAAATCTAAACTCTGAAATTTTTAGTTAACACTCAAAGATATTTGAGGTTTTTTGCTTAAAGGGTTGAGGGTTACTGTCCTTTAAAAAAAATGCTCCTTGTAGAGTCTCCAGAAACGAAGGAAACTTCTTTAAATCTCATTTGATTTGAATGAATGGTTAGCTAATCCTGATCAGATGTTCCTTGAGAGCACAATGCTTAAAACCCACCGTGGCATTTGCCTAACTGGCTGATTCTCGAATACACCAGTTTCATCCTAATTTGAGGCCTCAGAGGTCACTTTAGGTAACTGTTTACTTTAAATGGTCTTTGTTTCAGATTTCCTGTTGAGTTTTTTTTAAGCATTTTAAAAAAATCACCCAGTGGTTGTGTCAGAGCTTCCCATAACCTCCCGATTCAAACCAAAAAACCATCTACATAACTAAATGACTGCACCTGCCTACGTGAACACTGCTTGGAGCAGAATGTGAAATTAGACATCACATTCTTTCAATCATAATGAAACTAATATTTAGAGGTTTTTCTGCCAGAGGCTTGTATTTATGATACTTTGTCTTCTTTTTTTTTTTGTTTCTCCAGGACATTTGGGCTTCCAGGACAGTTTTGTCACATCAGGTGTTTTCAGTGTGACTGAGTTAGTAAGAGTGTCACAGAGTAAGTATAATTTTGCTTTGATTTGGTACAGATTTGCCTTGGGTTTGTGCTTACTGTCTGCCCAGGCCTCCTCGTAAAGACATAAATAGCTTTGCGAATCCCCTTTTCACTCACCCATTGGAAGAATTTTTGCCATGCAGTCTGTGTCACAGCCAAGAATTTAAATTGGGAAAAATTAAATCTAATTTTAATGTGAGGCGTGGGGACAGAGCTGAAATCCTGAGTGTCTTATGCATTCCAGAGTTTGTAGTGTGAAGTTGGTCTAAAGAAATTCTGAGGTTTCCCTGACTTCTAAGAATTCAGCATTTTTAAAGAATTTGCTTTTGACCTTTAAAGCATGCTAATGCCCTCCACATGAGTGACACAGTGCAGCATGATCATTACCAGCTTGTCAATACTCACTAACAACAGTGAATTAAGAGTACCTGTCACCACCCTGTTCATTGATCAAAGGGTCATTGATTGTGTTTTGCTATGATGTAATCCAGACAATCCAAGGAGAAGGTACAGGATTCATTCTCTCTCTTTGTCTCTCCTCTCTTACTCACTCTCTGTCACACACAAACACACTCTTAACCATCCCTTAAGATAATCTCTTTGTTATTTTTGTTTTCTTTTTATTTAAAATCTCAACAGCGGTGGCAATAATGTCCTGTGTTCCAATGATAACAAAGAAAACAACAAATACTAGCTATTCAAATTTTTTTTACTTTCTACAGTCTTCAAAATCTGTTTAATTGGATTTACATTTTTTGTGTACAATTTTTATTTTTAGATATTAAAATTTTCATTTTTAGATATTAAAAATAATTTTTAGTATATAATTTATCACTCACTTTATCTGTTTATTAATTTTTGGTCTCTTCTCTCCCCCTTCTCATCTCTGCTAACCCTCTAAGATTAAGACAGAGTGTAAAACCTTTCCTTACCTTTTTGTATTAGTAGTCTTGTACCGTAATTGTCCTTTTGTGACTGACTTATGACATTCAACATAATTTGGTCTAGATTCATCCATGTGGTGCAGTATTCTGTAGATGTAAATTTTAAAAATTGATGCTGTTTCAAAAAAAAAAATATAGATGCTCTTTCAGCAGCATCAAGGCCACTTTGAAATAAGGTAGAATAAAAAGAAATATTTCCATTTCTAATTTACACCACCCTTTATGAAATCACTCAGGTTGACTCAGTAAATAGATCAATCCCGTGACAAGATGTCAAGTAGAACAAGCCAAGCCATCACTGATTCCATCTGCTTACATTTCAGTCATTCATTAGTTAGAAGACTCTGAAGAATCTAGAAAGTAGGATACAAGTTGGAGGAAAAAGAGAGGCAACAGAAGAGTATCTAATAGACTACTGAGCATTAACTGTCTGGCAGGCATTGTGCTGGGCTTTCATGTATGTTGCATAAACCAATACTTGGAATTCTAGATAAACATTACTTAATATCCATTCAGGCACCATCGGATCGCCTGAGTGGTTACAAATGACCAGGAAGCAGCCATATGAACAAGGCAGCTGCAGAAGAGGCCATCACTGTGACCTACACCCCTGGTCCCTATGGCCACCTGTCTGTACACTCCGGGTGCACTTTCTCCTTACCTTGTGTCCAGACATGTGCAGTGTACCAACCTGACTTCCAGGGCAGCCCTGCCTAGCCCAGCCCCACCTAGCCCTGCCCCACATCTGACATAGTCAGCCTCCTGTATCCAACCTTCAAGTCTTATGAGAACAGGGACTGGCTCTGTATAATATGGAATTTACACAATGTTCAAACTGCCTAATGTCCTGTTTCACAGAACATAATCATGGATATTAAGCAAAACATGCAGACAAGACAAACAATAAGGCCTCCCTTTTTTACAGACAAGTAAACAAACAAACAAACAAGCCCAGATTTATTTTAGTGAATTATCCAAAGTCCAGTAGTGGGTAAATGTTTGTGCAGAGTCTCTGTGATGCCAGTCTCCAGAATGACTTGAAGGGAATTGAAAGAAATCTACAACAAAAATGGACAGGAGAACTAACTAGGTTTCTGTGGATATAAATGCTCTGAGAGGTGGCTGATGCTGAGGTTTTCTGATACAGGGTGTGTTTGGAACCCTAACAAATGACACGTTAGAGCAGCACGTTGTGACTTGGAATGGAGAGGTTGTTATTACATCAGTCCGTTTTGCTAATGGTTCCAGGTGCCATCCAGGAGACACTTAACTCCTCGTCAGCCCATGTGTGTTCTTCAGGGAGTTTTCCACAGCTCATTTTTCATATACATCACTAGACCTTTCTTCTCAGGTACCTTTAGCTGAACTGAAACTTCTGAAGTTCCATTTAGTAACCGAACATGTTAACCAGTTGCACCACCCATTGGCTTCATGATTCAAGCAGCAGCCAGGTAAATAAAGCCTGGATTGCATTGTAAACTGGGAGGCTATCCACTGCTCTAGTTACAGCACAATTTCTCAGCCAGTTGCTTGGCATATAAATTATATTGGTGCTGTTTTGTTTATTTTTTAAAGAAAAGAAAAAAATTTTGTAAAGATATTTTTTGAAAAAATTTATTATTAATTTCAATGAGAATTTACAGAGACTTTGGATTTCCATTCATTCATTGTTGCATTTTTCTCCCCTCCCAATCCTCCCCCCTAATACACTACCCTCTTGGAAAAGTAAAAGAAAAATTCTTTCATTGTTTTACAAACTTTCTCCCAGGTCCACTCCACTATGCAGCCTTCACTCTGGACTCCTGTCATGACAAAAATACCTAATCACATATCCCTTTTAAATCGTTTTCTCCCTCATCTGTTTCAATGCAGTATACATTATTGAACCCATCTTTCTCAGTCTCCCCTCAACCCCGAGGTCAGTCCTGTTTTACAACAGTGGCACCAAGTGTGGTATTTGTCCTTTTGTGACTGAGTTATTTCAGTCAGCATAATGTCCTCCAGGTTCACCCATTTTGAATAATATTGCATGAGTTCCTTGTTTTTCAATGCAGCATAGTATTCCATTCTGTGAATATTCCACAGCTTCTCTATCCATTCGTTTGTTGATGGGCACTTAGGTTGTTTCCAACTCCTTGCTATTGTGAACAAAGCCACAATAAACATGGGTGTGCATATATCTGCCTGGATGTCAGTTATGGTAACTTTGGGGTATATTCCCAGTAGTGGAATTACTAGGTCAAATGGTATCTCTATTTGCAACCTTTTGAGAAAGTTCCATACTGCCTTCCACAGTGGTTGCACCCTTTTACACTACCACCAACAGTGAATAAGGGTTCCAGTTTCCCCACAACCTCACCAGCATTTGTTGCTTGCTGTTCTGTTAAATTTTGCTATTCTGACTGGGGCTAGATGATATAGTTGTTTTAATTTGCATCTCTCTTAGAGCTAGGGATTTTGAACATTTCTTCATGTGCTTGTTGGCCATCGGAATGTCTTCTTTGGTGAGGTGTCCGTTCATATCCTGTGCCCATTTTTCTATTGGATTATTTACCTTTAACTTGTTGTGGTGCTCAAGTATTTTATAAATGCTGGATATAAGTTCCTTATCTGATATGTCATTGCCAAATACTTTTTCCCAGTCTGTGGCTTCCCTTTTTACCCTATTGGAGAAATTTTTGGATGTACATAGGGATTTGATTCTTAGAAGGTCCCATTAATCTATTTTCTCATCTCCTGGTTGTAGGTACATTTGTAAAGTTTTTTAAAATTTGCTAGTATCCTATATTGTTCTCATCATAGTAATAGGACTGGTAATACATAGAATAACCATCATAATACACCTACCATAGTCTTGTTATCAGGAAAAGACATTGTTTGAGCCCTATATAAGGAATCAGGAGCTCTGGTGGCCTAGTGGCAAGAAGCTGTGCTGCAATCCCTAAGGCACGCTGTTCGAGGCCACCACCAGCCTCTCCAGAGAAGGATGGGCAGTCTCCTCCCGTGTGATTAACTGCCTCTGAAAACCCGCCAGAGGGTCACCTATGGATCGGTTCTGACTCTATAGTACAGCAACAACATATAAGGCATAAAGTGGGTATCCCCTTTTACCACTTACAATTCTAACACCAGAGCATTTTGTGCTGCCAGCCCACAGGAAGTCGGTTCAAATCCACCAGCTGCTTTGCAGGAGAAAGATAGGCAGTCTCTCCTGCTGTGTAAATGCCTCTGAAAACCCAGCGTAGCGTCATGTATGAGTCAGCTCTGACTCGGTGGTACATAGAAGCATAACTCAGTGCTAGAAGGCCTACTCAACTCCCTCATTGCAGTGAGGTTGGTTCTCACGCTTAGTGATCCTCCGTCTGGTTTCCAAGGCTGTGAATTGTAGCAGGACAGCACTGCCCGTCTTTCTCCCTCAGAGCTGTTTGGGGAGTCAGTGTAGAGAAATGCGGCTTTTAGTAGTGCACCTCGCCACCAGACCGTTCTTACTACATTCGCCTTCCTCACCACCAGCATCCTGGGCCTGTGGGGTTGTTTGAGATGGCTAACACGCTTAGCACCAGCCCCAGCCTCTCATCTTTCTTCCACTTCCTGTGTCTGCCAGTCAGGCCTTATATCCCAGGGCTTATCTGTTCCAAGCCTGACTAGACCTCCTTCAGTCCAAGATAGTGTCTCTGCCAAGTGAATTTGAAACCTCACCTTCCAGACTGCCTGAGGCCAGGGTGGCCCAGGGATTGAATTTGCAGAGGGTCCTGGTTCTGTTTCCTGTCTCTGTTTAGGGGCCTGTGCAGCGGATGCCTGGCTTTCAGACTGTCCTTCGGCTCTTGAATGTTTTCTGATTCTGCACACTGCTGTGTAATCGCTCTAGGACTCGCTCACACATGGCCTCCTGCTGACTGAAATGGTTTGGCAGGAGGGGGACTGGGCTGTGTCAGCGGAATCATGGCTTCAGGCCAAACGGGTCGCCTGTGATCCAGAGCCCCTCCCTCTTGCAGATCCTTAATCCAGGTTTGCTCGAGTCTATTTCACAAGACTGCTTTGGCTGCTGGGATAAGGATC